CACCCCTAGGCTCAGCACCCCCAGACGTAGCACCCCTAGGCTCAGCACCCCCAGGCTCAGCACCCCTAGGCTCAGCACCCCCAGGCTCAGCACCCCTAGGCTCCGCACCCCCAGGTACAGCACCCCCAGCCTCAGCACCCTCAGCAGCACCAGAGTCACCAGTGACCTCGACAGGCTCGACTGCGTCTACCTGGGACACACCTGAAGGGGCAGGACCCTGAGGGGGGAGGGGGTCTACCTGGGGGGGACCTGGTACCAGGAAGAGTGGGGGTGGGGGGAGGGACGGAGTGCGGTAGGGGAAGAGGCGGTAGTAGGGGACCGACTCGTCAAACGTGACGTCCTGGGAGGACAGAACACGGCGAGAGGTGGGGTGGTAAAACTGCCACCCAGGCGCGTCAGGGGGGAACCCCAGGAAGACGCAAGGAGCAGCACGAGGGGATAGTTTGTCCGCAGACAGGTCGCGGACAAACGCCCGAGATCCCCAGACCCGGAACGCCGACGCATCGCCAACCTTCCCCGTCCACAGCAAGGCTGGGGAGGTCTCCGGCCTGGAGACCCTGGGGTGGAGGTTGATCTGATGCGCCGCGTACCTCACCGCAAACGGCCACAGAAAATGGGGGGCAGCCGCATGCATCATAGACGTACGAGCGACGTCCATGACCATGCCAATGCGGCGCTCAGCAATCCCATTTTGCTGCGGTGAGTCCGGAAGCGTGAAGGTCTGACGGATGCCCCGTGCACGACAGTAGGCACGCAGAAGGCCAGAGGAGAACTCTCCGCCTCTGTCCGAGTGCAGACGCAGAACAGGAAAGTCCGAGCCGAAGCTCTGCCTGAGCTGGAGACGAGCTGCGCGGATCCAGTCGATCAGCACCTCAGTGACATCACCCTTGCTGCGCAAGGGGAAGACTGTGGTGTAACGCGAGTAGTCGTCAACAACGAGCAGGAAGTAGCGCTCGTGACCCTGTCCACGGACGCGGGCTGGGCCACACACGTCCATGTGAAGTGTCTGCAACGGGGCCTCTGTCGGAGGAAACTGGGAGGAGTGAGGGGCAGCACGCTGGCGCCCCTCGACACAGGGGACACAGGCAGGGCCAGGGCCCTGAGGAAGGGGAGGGAGGGACCGGGGGAGACCGGACACAAGAAGACGGGAGGCCATACCTCTGAGCCGAAGCAGAGAGGGGTGGCCAAGGCGGTGGTGCCAGAGGAGAGTCTCGTGAGACAGGAGACGACACGAACAGGGGGCAGACTCAGGACCAGACCTGGACGCCGCAGCAAACACCTGACCCGACGTAGCTACCCTACCAGACTCAGCAACTGGAGGAGACGCAGTGGTCAGAGTGTACAAGCTCGACCCCGGCTGACGGGTGAACGTAGCCAGGTGTCGGCCTGTGCCAGCCTCTGTACAGTGGGTCACTCGCCGACGTGCAGGAGTGAACTGGTGGACACCCGCATCCTGTAGGTCAGCACCACTCACCAGGTTCGTCGAGAACGAGGGGAGGTAGAGACCAGACAGGGTGCCAGAGGGAGCCGCCGGACACGGGAGGACTGTGGAGAAACGAGACAGGACCGGACCCCCAGAGGGGTCAGCCAGAGACACCGCAACCGGCCGACTAAGCGGCGTGAGTGTGGTGCGGTCCCGAAAGAAGGAGCGAGACGCCCCAGAGTCAAGAGTGAAGGTGAGGGAGGCCGAAGCCGACGCGGTACCTGAGAGAGCAGACTCACCAGTACCTGAGGACGCAGACACACCAGTACCGCCACCTCCGCTACCACCGCCACCGCCGCCGCGGCCTCCGCCTCCACTGCCGCCACCGAACCCCCCACCCCCACCTCCACCTCCACCGCTACCCCCACTCCCCCCACTGCCTCCACCTCCACCTCCACCGCCCGCTCCTCCAGCTCCCTTGCCCCCCTTGCCCTTGCCAGAGCGGCGTCTCCCGCTAGGGGAAGACGCCGCACCGACCGACTCAAGACCAAGGAGGTCGGCCGAAGCAGCAGAGGCAACAGAGGGCAGCAGGGGGGAGGGAGAACACCCCTCAAAGATGGGGGTGCGCGGGTCACCTCGAGAGGCTCCTACAGCGACTATGCTCTTTTCTATCGCGAGGAGGGCCTTCTCGAGGAGGTCTACAGTGAGTGTGGTGGGACAGACTGAGAGAAAGTGGTCCCTGACTACTCGAAGGGAGTCAGGGAGGCGAGTGACTAGGAAGTACAGAGTGATGTACATCGGGGGGGGGTTCGCGGTGCAGAAGTCAGCAGGAAGTGCAGCGCGGTAGCGAGTGTCACTAGTGCGGAGGTGCGTAATGAGGTCAGCAACGGTGGGAAAAGAAGCAAGGTCAGGGAAGAGGTACGGCAGCATGAGACGGCTCAGTGCAGCAGTGGAAGGGGAGGAGTAGCGCGCGACTACAGCGGCGTACAAGGTCTGAGCACTCTTGTACTGACTAAAGTGCGCACGCTCGGAGGTAGGGAGGTGGCGACGCACAGCAAGACGTGCAGCAGCATCGCGCGTGGCCCACTGGGAGCGAACAGTGGCGTCAGCATCAGCAGCAGGGGCAGGGGAAGCGCCAGAGGTGAGGTCAAAGAGAGAGAGGCCGTCCGCCCTATCGCACTGTAAGAACAGCTGTAGGTCATCTACCCAGACCTCAAAGTCAATGGCCCGACCCTCAGCGTCAAAAGTGAGGACACTGGGGGTAGCCATGACAGCAGTAGACCAGCAGTGCAAGGAGTAGGGGAAGAGCACGCAGTGACAGAGGGTCTGTGCTCACCGGACAGGGCTGCTCGGGCGGCTCGGCAGCTGGGCGGCTCGGCAGCTGGGCGGCTCGGCGGCTGGGCGGCTCGGCAGCTGGGCGGCTCGGCGGCTGGGCGGTCGGCTGCACGGCGGCTCGGCTGGTGGGCGGCCGGGCGGCTCGGCTGCTCTGCTGCTGGGCGGCTCGGCTGCGCTGCTGCTGGGCGGCTCGGCTGGGCCGCTGGCGTAGGGCGGCGGGGCCGCTGTAGAGGAGTGGCGGGGCTGCTGCAGAAAGGGCGGCGGGGCCGCTAGATAGGGCGGCGGGGCCGCTGCAGAGAAGTGGCGGGGCCGCTGCAGAAGGACGGCGGGGCCGCTGGGTAGGGCGGCGGGGCCGCTGCAGAGGAGCGGCGGGGCCGCTGCAAAAGGGGCGGCGGGACCGCTGGGAGAGAGGCGGCGGGGCCGCGAAGACGGGCGGCGGGGCCGCTGCAGAGAAGCGGCGGGGCCGCTGGGTAGGACGGCGGGGCCGCTGGGTAGGGCGGCGGGGCCGCTGCAGAGGAGCGGCGGGGCCGCTGCAAAAGGGGCGGCGGGGCCGCTGGGAGAGAGGCGGCGTGGCCGCGAAGACGGGCGGCGGGGCCGCTGAGACGGGTGGCGGGGCCGCAGTGAAGGGCGGCGGGTCCGCAACGAGAGAGGCGGCGGGGCCTCAGAAAAGGGCGGCGAGGCCGCTGAGACAGGCGGCGGGGCCGCAGTGAAGGGCCGCTAGGGCGGCTCGACGAAGTGAGGGCCCGGAGCGCGACTCGGGCTGAGCGCGCTTCGGGCAGGAAAAAAAAATCGATGTGGTGGGCCCTAAGCACAGTTCCCAAGGGGGAACCTGCTCGATACCATGAGAAGATTAGAACAAGAATGAATGAACTATGAAATGAAGTGAGTACAAATATGAAACCCTAATTGGTTGTACCCCCTATGGGATACCCCACTATAGCCTACACAACAGCATAAGCTATAATGTTCTGACATACACGGAATCTCAGATTCCCGCGGTGTCAGCACCGCCTGGCGGTGACTACCAGACAAATTTGCCCCGTGTTATTCACTTTGAGGGCTGCTTTGTTGGCGCGCTTGGTCCGATCATTGGCCCCGTAATTGAACCCTCTGTTGCTGATGCTTGCTAGCTAGTTAGTGTTATCTTATTTAAAGTTCAATATCAGCCTTTACAAAAAGGGAACACTGATGCATCAGACTTTTTTTTTAAGGTAACATTGAATTTTCAGGCTTTTTTTTTTTGGGACACTGACGATCAGGGATTCTACACAGAGGGACCCTGATGCATTAACGTGCCTAAAAGTGAATCATAGACCCTGGCGCCGGCGCTTATGGCCGTTACTCAATTACAAGCGCCACCCCTTAAAAAAATGAATTTATTATACCGTATGGCCCCGGATAGTAGCGCATATGCGCTTATAAAAAAATCATTTTTTTGGGGGGGGGCGCTTGTAATTGAGTAGCGGCCATAAGCGCCGGCGCTTATATAATGGCAAATACAAAATTATACTCTTAGGGTACCAAATTGTATATTTCATTGTTGCCATTTCAACCGAGTCGAAACAATTTTGCATCACAAAGCAGAATCGCGCGGAAACGATTCTGCTTCCTCCACACGGACAAAGTCACGTCACCTTGCAGGCATGCCAACACATCCTGATTGGACGCGCAGCCAGTCAGGTCTTCGCGAGTCAAACGAATCGAAATTGAAATTGGACTCGCTGCAAAAATGAAACTCGTTACCGATTTAAACAGTATTTTAAATGAAAATTGTACGTGCGCTTATAATAAGTAAAGGTTTTCTAGGGGGGGCGCTTATAATCGAATTCCGGCCATAAGCGCCATGCTCCAGATAGAAGCGCCGGCGCCTTTAATCGGACGGCGCCTATATCCGGGGCCATACGGGTAAGCGCATATGCGCTTATATCCGGGGCTATACGGTAAGCCCATGGGTGTAACATAGGCCTGGGGGTATATCCGGGTGATGACGGTATAAGGGTAATTTACACTGATAAAATAAGCCCTGACGACTCTGATTTTTCAGCGTGCCCCGCAACCAATCTAGGGGCCTGGGTATGTACTGCGTACATAACACCTAGTGAAAGAAAGTTTTTTTACCCCTACTGCGGGGCATTTACCAGTACACCCTAGGGTTTCTTCTATGCAATAGGCAACTCTCATGCCACACCACTTGTGCAGGCAAGCGCGCCTATGCAGTGCAGTTGGAAGCAGGGTGGATGCACTACTTAGTGCTGCCCAGCTGGGCGAGCCATGGCAGCAGCGCTTGCTGCACGGCCACGGGCTGGTCGTCGTGGGGGCAGTGGCCGCACAGGGGGAGTGTGAGCATGGTGGTGAGGGGGCGGTGGTGCGGCAGGAGCGAGAAGAAGCGCCCCACGGGGCCGTCGAGCGGCGTGAAGGGGTCCTGCTCGCCCCACAGCAGCAGCAGCGGTGCCTCGATCTGTGGCAGCAGGTGCTCCGGGCGCGGGCCAGGCGGGCCCGTGAGCACCGCTATGAACACGTGCAGCGCCCCGGGGTCCTCTGCTGGTGCACATATCAGCTGCGATGGGGGGGGGGGAGGCAGGGCGAGGGGCGCAGAACCGTTAGGTAGCACACACAGAAGTAGCTGTGAAGCATGCATATGCGGCAAGCAGGCAGATGAGATGAAGGGAGGGTGCAGAAGGTGATGTGATACTTTGACACCACGAACACACAGAGGAAGTACCAACGCATGGATGCCCGCATCATCATCTGCACCAGCTTCCCAGCATGCACAGCACCACCATCATCACCACCACCAACAGCCTCAGCATCAGCATCAGCATCACCAATACCATCACCATCAGCATCACCTGCACGAGCATCACCTGCACCAGCATCACCTGCACCAGCATCACCTGCACCAGCATCACCTGCACCAGCATCACCTGCACGAGCATCACCTGCACCAGCATCACCTGCACCAGCATCACCTGCACCAGCATCACCTGCACCAGCATCACCTGCACCAGCATCACCTGCACCAGCATCACCTGCACCAGCATCACCTGCACCAGCATCACCTGCACCAGCATCACCTGCACCAGCATCACCTGCACCAGCATCACCTGCACCAGCTTCACCTGCACCAGCATCACCTGCACCAGCATCACCTGCACCAGCATCACCTGCACCAGCATCACCTGCACCAGCATCACCTGCACCAGCATCACCTGCACCAGCATCACCTGCACCAGCATCACCTGCACCAGCATCACCTGCACCAGCATCACCTGCACCAGCATCACCTGCACCAGCATCACCTGCACGAGCTCGTCATCGACGGCATCGGGGTTGCAATACACGGCTCGCAGCACCGATGCCACGTTGTCCCTGCCAAGGGGAGAGAAGGGGGAGGGGGGAACAGAACGAATGGGGATGCAAAGAAGGAAAAGGGGTGAATTGTGAGGTGGGATAGAAGGGAAGTAGAATGGATGGACGGCTGGCAGTAGAGGATGGTCCTGGCAGTAGAGGATGGTCCTGGCAGTAGAGGATGGTCCTGGCAGTAGAGGATGGTCCTGGCAGTCGAGGATGGTCCTGGCAGTCGAGGATGGTCCTGGCAGTCGAGGATGGTCCTGGCAGTCGAGGATGGTCCTGGCAGTCGAGGATGGTCCTGGCAGTCTGGCAGCGGCGGGAAAGAAACAAGCAGCTCTGACAAGGCTGACCTGGTTCGGACAGGGCTGACCTGGTGCGGACAAGGCTGACCTGGTTCGGACAGGGCTGACCTGGTGCGGACAAGGCTGACCTGGTTCGGACAAGGCTGACCTGGTTCGGATAGGGATGACCTGGTGCGGACATTGGCTGACCTGGTGCGGACATTGGCTGACCTGGTACGGACATTGGCTGACCTGGTTCGGGCATGGCTGACCTGGTTCGGACGCGGTTGAAGATGGCGGAGGCGAGGGGAGGGAAGGAGAGGAGGAAGTCGATGAGGAGGAAGAGGGGCAGCGCCAGGCGGATGCGCCAGTCGTCCTCTATGGCCTTGTTGTTCAGCCCGCCCGCACAGTTGAGCAGCACCACCCCCGCCACCTCCTCGCCCGGCAGCGCTGCACATGGCACACAGGGCGGTGGGTGGTGAGGGGTGATGTGGGGTGAGAGTGGCAAGTGCGAGGACGCGAGGCGGCCCACGGGGACGTACGGCACGGGATGGGGAACACAAGGCACATGTGAGGTGCTCATGTGGCATGGGATGAGTAACGGAACGCATATGTGAAGTGCTGACGAGCCTCCCACACACCCCACCCACACACATCTGACCTGTGGGTCATCGCCCTGTTTAAAATGGCATGGGAAGATTAGGCAACGAGACCTAGCTTGGTGCATCACGTGAAATTATCCCACAGTTGGGTTTGCGAACTCAACCTTGACCAGTTATTTGGCTCCCACAGTTGGGTTGGAAGATTATTGGAGGGAGACCTAATACTCGTGGCCCAACTTCGGCCAAGACTATTGGGAACCCCCAATGATTCTCCAACCCAACCCAATGTTGGGCCAACAATGTTGGCCAAGAACCCAACCACCCCCCCTTTCTCATTCAACACTGTATACCCCCTCCTATCCTATCAGGGCAACTCAGGTTCATGTCTCTCCCAATCCTCGTGTCCCGCGTGCCTCGTCATGCCCCCATCCCCCTCACGACCAATAGCCGTTTCGCTACCGTGTAGTTGCGCCTCTAGCACCTCCCTCGTCCCTTAGCCACCCATCCTAGCACCTCCCTCGTCCCTTAGCCACCCATCCTAGCTCGGCAGTCATGGCCCCTAGACGTCGCCACCTCCCCCCGTCCGTCCACCTCATTCTAGAGCACCCCAACGGCCTTCCTTCCACTCCTCGACCTGCCCCCCTTTCCACCCCCTCATGCTCCGCCTCCCTTGACAGATCCCCACCCCCATCCCCCCTGTCCTCCCAGCCTGGGTTCTCCTCACGTTCCACTGGCCGTAGGAGCACCTTCCAGCCCTCCAGTGGAACAACTTCAGCTGTAGCTGTTCTTGGTGACCAGGGCCGTTAGGGCAGAGCAAGGAAACCCTAACAGACCTGCAGGGGAGAGGGAGGAGAGGAATGAGGGGAGCAAACCTGCAGCAGCAGTAAGCGCGACGAGGCTGCCGATGGAGTTGACCACCAGCACCACTCTGCACCGCACCACTTCGGATACGAAATCCTGCAGCATCTGCTAGGAGGACAGGCAAGAGGGCGGGTATGGGCGGGCGGGTATGGGAGGGCGGGTATGGGAGGGCGGGTATGGGAGGGCGGGTATGGGAGGATGGGGGGAGAGAATGGGAGTTGAGCATGGGGCGAAAGCATGGGATGGGAGGGCATGCAAGGGAGGGTAGGCATGGCATGTGTCCCTCACCTGCGCCAGTGCCCCTCACCTGCGCCAGTGCCCCTCACCTGCGCCAGTGCCCCTCACCTGCGCCAGTGCCCCTCACCTGCGCCAGTGCCCCTCACCTGCGCCAGTGTCCCTCACCTGCGCCAGTGCCCCTCACCTGCGCCAGTGCCCCTCACCTGCGCCAGTGCCCCTCACCTGCGCCAGTGTCCCTCACCTGCGCCAGTGCCCCTCACCTGCGCCAGTGTCCCTCACCTGCGCCAGTGCCCCTCACCTGCGCCAGTGCCCCTCACCTGCGCCAGTGCCCCTCACCTGCGCCAGTGCCCCTCACCTGCGCCAGTGCCCCTCACCTGCGCCAGTGCCCCTCACCTGCGCCAGTGCCCCTCACCTGCGCCAGTGCCCCTCACCTGCGCCAGTGCCCCTCACCTGCGCCAGTGCCCCTCACCTGCGCCAGTGCCCCTCACCTGCGCCAGTGCCCCTCACCTGCGCCAGTGCCCCTCACCTGCGCCAGTGCCCCTCACCTGCGCCAGTGCCCCTCACCTGCGCCAGTGCCCCTCACCTGCGCCAGTGCCCCTCACCTGCGCCAGTGCCCCTCACCTGCGCCAGTGCCCCTCACCTGCGCCAGTGCCCCTCACCTGCGCCAGTGCCCCTCACCTGCGCCAGTGCCCCTCACCTGCGCCAGTGCCCCTCACCTGCGCCAGTGCCCCTCACCTGCGCCAGTGCCCCTCACCTGCGCCAGTGCCCCTCACCTGCGCCAGTGCCCCTCACCTGCGCCAGTGCCCCTCACCTGCGCCAGTGCCCCTCACCTGCGCCAGTGCCCCTCACCTGCGCCAGTGCCCCTCACCTGCGCCAGTGCCCCTCACCTGCGCCAGTGCCCCTCACCTGCGCCAGTGCCCCTCACCTGCGCCAGTGCCCCTCACCTGCGCCAGTGCCCCTCACCTGCGCCAGTGCCCCTCACCTGCGCCAGTGCCCCTCACCTGCGCCAGTGCCCCTCACCTGCGCCAGTGCCCCTCACCTGCGCCAGTGCCCCTCACCTGCGCCAGTGCCCCTCACCTGCGCCAGTGCCCCTCACCTGCGCCAGTGCCCCTCACCTGCGCCAGTGCCCCTCACCTGCGCCAGTGCCCCTCACCTGCGCCAGTGCCCCTCACCTGCGCCAGTGCCCCTCACCTGCGCCAGTGCCCCTCACCTGCGCCAGTGCCCCTCACCTGCGCCAGTGCCCCTCACCTGCGCCAGTGCCCCTCACCTGCGCCAGTGTCCCTCACCTGCGCCAGTGCCCCTCACCTGCGCCAGTGTCCCTCACCTGCGCCAGTGCCCCTCACCTGCGCCAGTGCCCCTCACCTGCGCCAGTGCCCCTCACCTGCGCCAGTGCCCCTCACCTGCGCCAGTGCCCCTCACCTGCGCCAGTGCCCCTCACCTGCGCCAGTGCCCCTCACCTGCGCCAGTGCCCCTCACCTGCGCCAGTGCCCCTCACCTGCGCCAGTGCCCCTCACCTGCGCCAGTGCCCCTCACCTGCGCCAGTGCCCCTCACCTGCGCCAGTGCCCCTCACCTGCGCCAGTGCCCCTCACCTGCGCCAGTGCCCCTCACCTGCGCCAGTGCCCCTCACCTGCGCCAGTGCCCCTCACCTGCGCCAGTGCCCCTCACCTGCGCCAGTGCCCCTCACCTGCGCCAGTGCCCCTCACCTGCGCCAGTGCCCCTCACCTGCGCCAGTGCCCCTCACCTGCGCCAGTGCCCCTCACCTGCGCCAGTGCCCCTCACCTGCGCCAGTGCCCCTCACCTGCGCCAGTGCCCCTCACCTGCGCCAGTGCCCCTCACCTGCGCCAGTGCCCCTCACCTGCGCCAGTGCCCCTCACCTGCGCCAGTGCCCCTCACCTGCGCCAGTGCCCCTCACCTGCGCCAGTGCCCCTCACCTGCGCCAGTGCCCCTCACCTGCGCCAGTGCCCCTCACCTGCGCCAGTGCCCCTCACCTGCGCCAGTGCCCCTCACCTGCGCCAGTGCCCCTCACCTGCGCCAGTGCCCCTCACCTGCGCCAGTGCCCCTCACCTGCGCCAGTGCCCCTCACCTGCGCCAGTGCCCCTCACCTGCGCCAGTGCCCCTCACCTGCGCCAGTGCCCCTCACCTGCGCCAGTGCCCCTCACCTGCGCCAGTGCCCCTCACCTGCGCCAGTGCCCCTCACCTGCGCCAGTGCCCCTCACCTGCGCCAGTGCCCCTCACCTGCGCCAGTGCCCCTCACCTGCGCCAGTGCCCCTCACCTGCGCCAGTGCCCCTCACCTGCGCCAGTGCCCCTCACCTGCGCCAGTGCCCCTCACCTGCGCCAGTGCCCCTCACCTGCGCCAGTGCCCCTCACCTGCGCCAGTGCCCCTCACCTGCGCCAGTGCCCCTCACCTGCGCCAGTGCCCCTCACCTGCGCCAGTGCCCCTCACCTGCGCCAGTGCCCCTCACCTGCGCCAGTGCCCCTCACCTGCGCCAGTGCCCCTCACCTGCGCCAGTGCCCCTCACCTGCGCCAGTGCCCCTCACCTGCGCCAGTGCCCCTCACCTGCGCCAGTGCCCCTCACCTGCGCCAGTGCCCCTCACCTGCGCCAGTGCCCCTCACCTGCGCCAGTGCCCCTCACCTGCGCCAGTGCCCCTCACCTGCGCCAGTGCCCCTCACCTGCGCCAGTGCCCCTCACCTGCGCCAGTGCCCCTCACCTGCGCCAGTGCCCCTCACCTGCGCCAGCGCCCCTCACCTGCGCCAGCGCCCCTCACCTGCGCCAGCGCCCCTCACCTGCGCCAGCGCCCCTCACCTGCGCCAGCGCCCCTCACCTGCGCCAGCGCCCCTCACCTGCGCCAGCGCCCCTCACCTGCGCCAGCTGCCCCTCACCTGCGCCAGTGCCCCTCACCTGCGCCAGTGCCCCTCACCTGCGCCAGTGCCCCTCACCTGCGCCAGTGCCCCTCACCTGCGCCAGTGCCCCTCACCTGCGCCAGTGCCCCTCACCTGCGCCAGTGCCCCTCACCTGCGCCAGTGCCCCTCACCTGCGCCAGTGCCCCTCACCTGCGCCAGTGCCCCTCACCTGCGCCAGTGCCCCTCACCTGCGCCAGTGCCCCTCACCTGCGCCAGTGCCCCTCACCTGCGCCAGTGCCCCTCACCTGCGCCAGTGCCCCTCACCTGCGCCAGTGCCCCTCACCTGCGCCAGTGCCCCTCACCTGCGCCAGTGCCCCTCACCTGCGACCAGTGCCCCTCACCTGCGCCAGTGCCCCTCACCTGCGCCAGTGCCCCTCACCTGCGCCAGTGCCCCTCACCTGCGCCAGTGCCCCTCACCTGCGCCAGTGCCCCTCACCTGCGCCAGTGCCCCTCACCTGCGCCAGCGCCCCTCACCTGCGCCAGCGCCCCTCACCTGCGCCAGCGCCCCTCACCTGCGCCAGCGCCCCTCACCTGCGCCAGCGCCCCTCACCTGCGCCAGCGCCCCTCACCTGCGCCAGTGCCCCTCACCTGCGCCAGTGCCCCTCACCTGCGCCAGTGCCCCTCACCTGCGCCAGTGCCCCTCACCTGCGCCAGTGCCCCTCACCTGCGCCAGTGCCCCTCACCTGCGCCAGTGCCCCTCACCTGCGCCAGTGCCCCTCACCTGCGCCAGTGCCCCTCACCTGCGCCAGTGCCCCTCACCTGCGCCAGTGCCCCTCACCTGCGCCAGTGCCCCTCACCTGCGCCAGTGCCCCTCACCTGCGCCAGTGCCCCTCACCTGCGCCAGTGCCCCTCACCTGCGCCAGTGCCCCTCACCTGCGCCAGTGCCCCTCACCTGCGCCAGTGCCCCTCACCTGCGCCAGTGCCCCTCACCTGCGCCAGTGCCCCTCACCTGCGCCAGCGCCCCTCACCTGCGCCAGCGCCCCTCACCTGCGCCAGCGCCCCTCACCTGCGCCAACGCCCCTCACCTGCGCCAGCGCCCCTCACCTGCGCCAGCGCCCCTCACCTGCGCCAGTGCCCCTCACCTGCGCCAGTGCCCCTCACCTGCGCCAGTGCCCCTCACCTGCGCCAGTGCCCCTCACCTGCGCCAGTGCCCCTCACCTGCGCCAGTGCCCCTCACCTGCGCCAGTGCCCCTCACCTGCGCCAGTGCCCCTCACCTGCGCCAGTGCCCCTCACCTGCGCCAGTGCCCCTCACCTGCGCCAGTGCCCCTCACCTGCGCCAGTGCCCCTCACCTGCGCCAGTGCCCCTCACCTGCGCCAGTGCCCCTCACCTGCGCCAGTGCCCCTCACCTGCGCCAGTGCCCCTCACCTGCGCCAGTGCCCCTCACCTGCGCCAGTGCCCCTCACCTGCGCCAGTGCCCCTCACCTGCGCCAGTGCCCCTCACCTGCGCCAGTGCCCCTCACCTGCGCCAGTGCCCCTCACCTGCGCCAGTGCCCCTCACCTGCGCCAGTGCCCCTCACCTGCGCCAGCGCCCCTCACCTGCGCCAGCGCCCCTCACCTGCGCCAGCGCCCCTCACCTGCGCCAGTGCCCCTCACCTGCGCCAGTGCCCCTCACCTGCGCCAGTGCCCCTCACCTGCGCCAGTGCCCCTCACCTGCGCCAGTGCCCTCACCTCACCTGCGCCAGTGCCCCTCACCTGCGCCAGTGCCCCTCACCTGCGCCAGTGCCCCTCACCTGCGCCAGTGCCCCTCACCTGCGCCAGTGCCCCTCACCTGCGCCAGTGCCCCTCACCTGCGCCAGTGCCCCTCACCTGCGCCAGTGCCCCTCACCTGCGCCAGTGCCCCTCACCTGCGCCAGTGCCCCTCACCTGCGCCAGTGCCCCTCACCTGCGCCAGTGCCCCTCACCTGCGCCAGTGCCCCTCACCTGCGCCAGTGCCCCTCACCTGCGCCAGTGCCCCTCACCTGCGCCAGTGCCCCTCACCTGCGCCAGTGCCCCTCACCTGCGCCAGTGCCCCTCACCTGCGCCAGTGCCCCTCACCTGCGCCAGCGCCCCTCACCTGCGCCAGCGCCCCTCACCTGCGCCAGCGCCCCTCACCTGCGCCAGTGCCCCTCACCTGCGCCAGTGCCCCTCACCTGCGCCAGTGCCCCTCACCTGCGCCAGTGCCCCACGCCAGTGCCCCTCACCTGCGCCAGTGCCCCTCACCTGCGCCAGTGCCCCTCACCTGCGCCAGTGCCCCTCACCTGCGCCAGTGCCCCTCACCTGCGCCAGTGCCCCTCACCTGCGCCAGTGCCCCTCACCTGCGCCAGTGCCCCTCACCTGCGCCAGTGCCCCTCACCTGCGCCAGTGCCCCTCACCTGCGCCAGTGCCCCTCACCTGCGCCAGTGCCCCTCACCTGCGCCAGTGCCCCTCACCTGCGCCAGTGCCCCTCACCTGCGCCAGTGCCCCTCACCTGCGCCAGTGCCCCTCACCTGCGCCAGTGCCCCTCACCTGCGCCAGTGCCCCTCACCTGCGCCAGTGCCCCTCACCTGCGCCAGTGCCCCTCACCTGCGCCAGTGCCCCTCACCTGCGCCAGTGCCCCTCACCTGCGCCAGTGCCCCTCACCTGCGCCAGTGCCCCTCACCTGCGCCAGTGCCCCTCACCTGCGCCAGTGCCCCTCACCTGCGCCAGTGCCCATCACCTGCGCCAGTGCCCCTCACCTGCGCCAGCGCCCCTCACCTGCGCCAGCGCCCCTCACCTGCGCCAGCGCCCCTCACCTGCGCCAGTGCCCCTCACCTGCGCCAGTGCCCCTCACCTGCGCCAGTGCCCCTCACCTGCGCCAGTGCCCCTCACCTGCGCCAGTGCCCCTCACCTGCGCCAGTGCCCCTCACCTGCGCCAGTGCCCCTCACCTGCGCCAGTGCCCCTCACCTGCGCCAGTGCCCCTCACCTGCGCCAGTGCCCCTCACCTGCGCCAGTGCCCCTCACCTGCGCCAGTGCCCCTCACCTGCGCCAGTGCCCCTCACCTGCGCCAGTGCCCCTCACCTGCGCCAGTGCCCCTCACCTGCGCCAGTGCCCCTCACCTGCGCCAGTGCCCCTCACCTGCGCCAGTGCCCCTCACCTGCGCCAGTGCCCCTCACCTGCGCCAGTGCCCCTCACCTGCGCCAGTGCCCCTCACCTGCGCCAGTGCCCCTCACCTGCGCCAGTGCCCCTCACCTGCGCCAGTGCCCCTCACCTGCGCCAGTGCCCCTCACCTGCGCCAGTGCCCCTCACCTGCGCCAGTGCCCCTCACCTGCGCCAGTGCCCCTCACCTGCGCCAGTGCCCCTCACCTGCGCCAGTGCCCCTCACCTGCGCCAGTGCCCCTCACCTGCGCCAGTGCCCCTCACCTGCGCCAGTGCCCCTCACCTGCGCCAGTGCCCCTCACCTGCGCCAGTGCCCCTCACCTGCGCCAGTGCCCCTCACCTGCGCCAGTGCCCCTCACCTGCGCCAGTGCCCCTCACCTGCGCCAGTGCCCCTCACCTGCGCCAGTGCCCCTCACCTGCGCCAGTGCCCCTCACCTGCGCCAGTGCCCCTCACCTGCGCCAGTGCCCCTCACCTGCGCCAGTGCCCCTCACCTGCGCCAGTGCCCCTCACCTGCGCCAGTGCCCCTCACCTGCGCCAGTGCCCCTCACCTGCGCCAGTGCCCCTCACCTGCGCCAGTGCCCCTCACCTGCGCCAGTGCCCCTCACCTGCGCCAGTGCCCCTCACCTGCGCCAGTGCCCCTCACCTGCGCCAGTGCCCCTCACCTGCGCCAGTGCCCCTCACCTGCGCCAGTGCCCCTCACCTGCGCCAGTGCCCCTCACCTGCGCCAGTGCCCCTCACCTGCGCCAGTGCCCCTCACCTGCGCCAGTGCCCCTCACCTGCGCCAGTGCCCCTCACCTGCGCCAGTGCCCCTCACCTGCGCCAGTGCCCCTCACCTGCGCCAGTGCCCCTCACCTGCGCCAGTGCCCCTCACCTGCGCCAGTGCCCCTCACCTGCGCCAGTGCCCCTCACCTGCGCCAGTGCCCCTCACCTGCGCCAGTGCCCCTCACCTGCGCCAGTGCCCCTCACCTGCGCCAGTGCCCCTCACCTGCGCCAGTGCCCCTCACCTGCGCCAGTGCCCCTCACCTGCGCCAGTGCCCCTCACCTGCGCCAGTGCCCCTCACCTGCGCCAGTGCCCCTCACCTGCGCCAGTGCCCCTCACCTGCGCCAGTGCCCCTCACCTGCGCCAGTGCCCCTCACCTGCGCCAGTGCCCCTCACCTGCGCCAGTGCCCCTCACCTGCGCCAGTGCCCCTCACCTGCGCCAGTGCCCCTCACCTGCGCCAGTGCCCCTCACCTGCGCCAGTGCCCCTCACCTGCGCCAGTGCCCCTCACCTGCGCCAGTGCCCCTCACCTGCGCCAGTGCCCCTCACCTGCGCCAGTGCCCCTCACCTGCGCCAGTGCCCCTCACCTGCGCCAGTGCCCCTCACCTGCGCCAGTGCCCCTCACCTGCGCCAGTGCCCCTCACCTGCGCCAGTGCCCCTCACCTGCGCCAGTGCCCCTCACCTGCGCCAGTGCCCCTCACCTGCGCCAGTGCCCCTCACCTGCGCCAGCGCCCCTCACCTGCGCCAGCGCCCCTCACCTGCGCCAGCGCCCCTCACCTGCGCCAGTGCCCCTCACCTGCGCCAGTGCCCCTCACCTGCGCCAGTGCCCCTCACCTGCGCCAGTGCCCCTCACCTGCGCCAGTGCCCCTCACCTGCGCCAGTGCCCCTCACCTGCGCCAGTGGCCGATGGAAGCGCCGAAGCCGTGCACCAACACCACGGCGGGCGCGTCCTCTCTCCCCCGCCAACCCCCCTCGCCGCTCTCCCCCGCGCCCTCGCCACCGGCGCCGGGCGGAATGTCGCAGTAGTTGATGCTCGCGCCGCGCCACGTCCACCGCCGCTGGTGGGAGAGGATGAGGGCGAGGCCCGCGGAGACACCATCGCCGCCGGGCACGCGCGCGCCGCCAGTGGAGGGGTCCGCCGAGTCACCCTCACGGGCGGCGGCGGCTGCGGCATCTGCGGCGGCCTGCGGGTCGCCGCCAATCAGAGCGGCCGTGCCGGCGGCGGCGAACGCGCGCTGCTGCGACTCGCCTGGCCGACTGTCGCTTGCCGCGTCGGACGGTCGTTCGCCATGCGAGGAGCGCACGACACGCTGCGACTGGCGACGCAGAAATACTCCAGGCCGCAAAGGCCCCGAGGCGCCGAGCGGTGCGGCGCAGAGGGTGGAATGGAAGGCGCGAAGCGGCGGGTGCGTGGGTGCGAGAGACGCCATGGAAGTGCAGCGGGTTCAGCTCGAGGCAAATGCTGGTTGGTAGCCTTTTGTTTCGTTTTCCCAAGGCCCCTTCCATGCACTTCGCGATCCAACATTTTCGTTCGTTTGAATGCGGCTCAATGAGATGTGCTCACGCTGTACAACGGTTCAGACTGGTCGGGATGAGTTTTTAGGAAATACGAAATGGAAATTGGATTCGGGAAAAAAAAGTCTTCTGATGCATCTCATTTCACGTGCCCTAATTTCAAACCAGGGCTTCAAAGATCATCTTCCTCAGCCAATCGCCCTCTGCATTGCTCGCCTCTCACACCCACCACACGCACTCCGCGCCGCGCCGCCGCCCCGCTCTCCTCGTGCGCGTCGCCCACCCCACCCACGGCGCGCTGCATCGCTCCGCCATCGCACTCGCGAAGCCTTCCAGCGCCTCAGCCGGTAAGGCGACGGTCGATCCACGGCGAAGCATTGGGAACGGAAACAACATGCTCTCGCCACTCCTCTTTCCCTGCTTCTCTCGCTCTACCTCCGCTCGCACTCGCTCATAACGCCCACCGCTCGCCCCAATTTCCAATTCTCCTTCCGCTGTCTCTCTCCCCGCTGCCGCGCGTGTCCTCGCCGTCTGGAAGCGAACAGCAGGTAGCGGAGGGCGCGGAGGGCGCGGAGGGCGCGGATGGCGGTGCTGCTGGAGACGAGTGTGGGCGAGATGGTGATCGACGTGCACACGGACCTCTGCCCGCTCGCCGCCAAGAACTTCCTCAAACTCGCCAAGTCGGTCTCCCTCGCGCCCCCCCCCCTGCCAACCCAAAGCACCTCCCCTCCTCCCCGCCCTTCTCGCCTCGCCCCTCACATACCTTCACTGTTTAATGACGCGGGAAATGGATGAAGTGCCTCGAATTCTCTGTTACGGCTCTTGCACCCTCCCCCCCCCTCCCCTCGGAATTATCCCTCCAGAACCTCTGCTGTCATGCGGCGGCATGCCTATGCCCATCCCTCCCCCCCCCAGGATGAAGTACTACAACCACTGCCTCTTCCACCACGTGCACCGCGACTTCATCGTGCAGACCGGCGACCCCACCGGCACTGGCGCTGGCGGTGACTCCGTTTACAAGTGCGTGTGGGGGGGGGGGGGGACAAGGGGTGTGTGGGGCGAGGGGTGGCGAGGCGACTCCATGTGCAGAGACGAGCAACACTGAGGCCCACCGGCGTTATTCCAACCGACTTGAGCTGGACAATTAGTCGAAACCGGTTCGGTTCAATCAAATTGGAGGGTAGGGGTTTAAGGTTCCCCTAATGTGGTCGAACCTTTTCCATTCCAGGTCGGGTCGAACCGTATGCAGTTTGATCTGAAACGGTTTGGTTTGATTTAGAAATGGAATTTCGCACAGATCTGCGGGTGAAATCCTAAATACTTGCGAATCTGGCCTCGAAATCCACGTCATCGCTCCAACAAACGCCCTAAGTCTCCAGGTTTCCGCATCCAGCCTGTGTTGGTTTGGCGCGACCTAGCACGCGTCGCATCGGCCGATGTTTGAAGGCGGCCACGCACCTAAACTCAGACTGACGCAGCCGATTCGACCCCAACCCATTTTACAAAAACTACCGGTTGTTTGAATCCAGCCAAACCGGAGTTTAGTACTATGCTCAACTGTGGGTGCGAGGGGCAAGGGTTGGCGAGGATCCTGCACTACAGCCGGTTGTCGTGCCATACCACACACCCACTCCCCTGCTGCAGTCGGTGCCCAAACCCCAAACCCCAACTCCCCCCTCCCCCCCCCCTTCCCCCCCCCCCCCACCGCAATGGCAGGTTCCTGTACGGAGAGCAGGCGCGGTTCTTTGAGGATGAGATCCGGGCGGGGCTGAAGCACGACAAGGTGGGGGTGGTGGCCATGGCCAGTGGGGACAGCAACCTCAACGCCTCCCAGGTGACTCTCACCACCTCTCAGGCAAGTTTTCATATTTCCCTACTGAATTTTGCAGGCCTAGTATTCTCCGTGTCCCCCCACTTGCCAGCATCCGGCACTTGTTACAATCTCTTCCTCCCATGCACACGCACACGCACACGCACACGCACACGCACACGCACGCACGCTCATACGCACTTTGCTTACACCAGCTCCACATATCATTGCAAAGAGGCTCAAATGCCCAGTTTCACCCTGCAAATTTACCTCCCGCACCCGCACGACTAGACGCACCACTTCGCAGGCTAAATCCATGCTGGGCCCACATGCTTTCTTTTAATTTCTCGTGTTTGCCCCCAACCCCGTTTCTCACATGCTGGGCCAGCACAGGATTAGTAAATCCCAGTCTCGACTCATAATTATTCATTCTTGCATCTCCCATGCCCTCCTCTCCCATCCTCCTTTTCCGCTCTCCCCCCTCTTTTCTCCCTCCCCTGGTGGCGTCCCCTGCTGGCATCTCCTACCGCCCCCCCCCCCCCCCCAGTTCTACATCACCACGCGGGCTGGGCTGGACTCACTGGATGGCAAGCACACGGTGAGTGAGACGATGAGGCTCATCTGATTATCGAGGTTCCTTATGTTCTTTTCTCGTCGCTGCCCCGCACTCGTTGCACCGTTGCACCACATGCATGGTCTCTCTGCATGGCATCATGGCACGCACTGTACGCCATGCTTATGTGGCTCTGCCACGCCACATCTCACCGCACTCTTGCATAGTTTCTTCATCTCTCATGTGCATGGCATGACATGGCATGGCATGGCATGGCATGGCGTGGCATGGCATGGCATGGCATGGCATGGCATGGCATCAGATATTTGGCGAGGTGGCGGAGGGGCTGGACACGCTGCAGCGCATCAACGAGGCCTTCGTGGACGACAAAGGCCGCCCCTTCAAGAACATCCGGTACGCCGCCCCTTCAAGAACATCCGGTACGCGCCAGTTTCTCTGGAAACTGCGCTGATGGCCGTGTCAGGGCTGCTAGCATGCGCACAGCTGGTCCTCTGTGCTGCGCCTCTGTATTTCGTGACAACTCATGGTTGCTCAGTGCAGCAGCTCAGCTGAGAAGACGGCTGTGCCATATGAGTCATCAGGTCCCCAAATGCCGCCTCTCCCCCGCCTCCCCCCCCCACCAGCATTCGCCGAGTGCACGTGTTGGACGACCCCTTTGACGACCCGCCAGGACTCGCTCACCTCATCCCCGATGCATCCCCACCCATGCCACTCCCGGCTGCTGTGAGCCCTTCCCCCCCTCCCTCCCCACCAACCCCGCGTCCTTCCGCTGCTGTGAACCCTCCCCTCCTCCGCCTTCCCCCCACTACCCCCGGGTGCTGTAAGCTGCCTGTTCACACCACCTGCTCATGTCACTTTCCTGTTGCACCTTCTGCTCTGCTGGAACCACTTGTGCCGCTTTTTCGTTTTGCTGATGCCAGTCCATTCCAAAATGTCGGTGCGCTGGATCTCCGGTGCCACTACCCAGCCACCCTCGTTCCTGTGCTGCTTTCCCTCGTATCTTCTCCGCACCGCATCACGGCTCCCCATTGTGCACTCCATCCTTACCACCCGCTCCTTCGCACTTCCTCTTCCGCCCTCTTCTGTGCTGCTACCCAATTCCCTGGCACTGACCGTGCGTGCGGAGGGCAGGGCGAGGACGTGAGGCTGGAGGACGACTGGGTGCCCATGGACGAGGGGCGGGCAGCAGACGAGGTGGAGCGCGACGTGCGGCGCAGAGAGGCGCAGTCCAGAGGCGTGGTGCTGGAGATGGTGAGAGCGGGTGAGGGTGGTGCTGGAGATGGTGAGAGTGTGGTGCTGGAGATGGTGAGAGTGTGGTGCTGGAGATGGTGAGAGTGTGGTGCTGGAGATGGTGAGAGTGTGGTGCTGGAGATGGTGAGAGTGTGGTGCTGGAGATGGTGAGAGTGTGGTGCTGGAGATGGTGAGAGTGTGGTGCTGGAGATGGTGAGAGTGTGGTGCTGAGATGGTGAGAGTGTGGTGCTGGAGATGGTGAGAGTGTGGTGCTGGAGATGGTGAGAGTGTGGTGCTGAGATGGTGAGAGTGTGGTGATGGAATGTGGGGGATGTGATGTAATGTTCTGCTGCTCACCCCCCTTTTCCACCCGCTGTCCCTCTATGCGCGCCTCACCCCACCAGATAGGGGATCTACCCGAGGCGGAGTTCAAGCCGCCGGAGAATGTGCTCTTCATCTGCAAGCTCAACCCCGTCACGCAGGTAAGCCACCTCTCTCTCACCTGCCTCTCACCGTGCCCCTCAGGTGCCACAGGTGCCGTTCAGGTGCCTCTCAGCTGCACAAGGTGTTTCAGGATTAGTGCAACACAGGTCGTGACTCTCCATGCCGTGTGTGTCACCACTGCTCCTCTCGGCACTGCATGCTCTGTCACTGTGTGCCTGCTGTGGGGCCAGGCCACTGCCCCTTGCACCACCTGCCTCCACGAGCGCATGCCAATCCTCGCACCGCATGCCCCGCATTGCCTCCCGAGCCTCTCTCGATGGGTCACTGTGAAGCTGATTGGCCGTGTTGTGCACAAATCGTCGTCTCTCCTCCCTGCCTCTATTCACTTGCATCACATTCGCACCTGTGCTGCGCTGTGTATGCCACATGCATGGCTTCACGTACACGGCATCACATGCATGGCATCACGTGCATGGCATCACATGCATGGCATCACGTGCATGGCATCACATGCATGGCATCACATGCATGGCATCGCATGCATGGCATCACATGCATGGCATCACGTGCATGGCATCACATGCATGGCATCACATGCATGTCATCGCATGCATGGCATCGCATGCATGGCATCACGTGCATGGCATCACGTGCATGGCATCACGTGCATGGCATCACATGCATGGCATCACATGCATGGCATCACATGCATGGCATCACGTGCATGGCATCACCTGCATGGCATCACATGCATGTCATCGCATGCATGTCATCGCATGCATGGCATCACGTGCATGGCATCACGTGCATGGCATCACATGCATGCATGGGCGTCATGACTGCGGTGCATGGGGGCAGGACGACGACCTGGAGATTATCTTCTCTCGATTCGGCAAGGTCGTCACGTGAGTTATTCCCCCTTCTGCTGCCCTGTCATGCAACTGCCTTCACATCACTGCGATCGCCTGCTCTCGCTCCTTCTCCTCCAACTGCCACCCATGAAGGGACCCCCTCACAGCCTCCTAGGGTGGATTCTAGTATTCAGAGTTGTGAGGTTCTTGCATTATTCACCAACTTGCTGTGCTGCATTGACCACCTCTGCTGCGTGCCATGTGACATGGAGACACTCATGCACTGCCCTGCAGTGCCATAACATCCCGTTCAACACTCTTCCATTGTGCGTCGCGTCGCCCCTGTTTCTGCCACCCCTCTCCACATTCCGTGCCACCACATCGCTCAGGGCGGACATCATTCGAGACCAGAAAACGGGCGACAGCCTCTGCTACGGCTTCATTGGTGCGCGGCGGGATGATGGGTTGGAATGATGGGGCGGAATGATGGGGCGGAATGATGGGTTGGAATGATGGGTTGGAATGATGGGTTGGAATGATGGGTTGGAATGATGGGTTGGAATGATGGGTTGGCGTGGTGATGGGGTGTGGTGATGGGGCATGATGGGGCATGATGGGGCATGATGGGGCATGATGGGGCATGATGGGGCATGATGGGGCATGATGGGGCATGATGGGGCATGATGGGGCGTGATGGGGCGTGATGGGGCATGATGGGGCGTGATGGGGCGTGATGGGGCGTGATGGGGCGTGATGGGGCGTGATGGGGCGTGATGGGGCGTGATGGGGCATGATGGGGCATGATGGGGCATGATGGGGCATGATGGCGATGCTGCCGTATATGGAGCAATGGTGAGACACTGCCTTGCAATCGGTGCCATTTGCTCCTCCTGCCTACTCCTCCTCTCTCCTTCCACCCTCTACCTTCTTCTCTCCCCTCCCTCTCCCTTCGTCTCTTCCCCACATCTTCCCTCTTATCGTCTCTCTTTCCTCCTCTCCCTTCGTCTCTCCCTTCGCTTCAACTTCTTCTCTCCATCCCCCTCGCCCTTCTTGCTCTTCCCTCACCCTCTCTCTGCTTTCTCTCCCTCCCCCTCACCCTCCTTGTTGTCCTCGTTGCATGCAGAGTTCGAAACAAAGGAGGCATGTGAGGCGGCTTACTTTAAGGTGAATACTTCACCACCCTCTGCTCCTTGCTCCTCTCTCCTTCATCCTTTGTTCTGTGACCCTTGCTTCTTTATCCTTGCACCTTGCTTCTCAATGCTTGCTCCTTGCTCATAAGCATTGTCGGAATGAAGGTGAATTCATGCCCACCTCATGCTCATCGCTACGGGAACATTGCACTGGTGCTTGCTGCTCCCCATCCCCACCATCAACAAACCTCTTTCCCGCAACCCACTCCATCCATCCCCCTGTCGCCCCCCTCCCCTCCTCCTTCCCACCATGCGCCGCGCCTGCTTCCCCCCCTGGAGACCAGATGGACGGCGTGTTGATCGACGACCGCCGTGTGCACGTGGACTTCAGCCAGAGCGTCGGCCGCCTCTGGTCGCGCTTCCGCCGCTTTGGGACCTCCGACTCCGCCGCTGCTGCTGATGCTGCTGGCGCTGCTGGTGCTGCTGGTGGCGGGAGGGGAGGGAGAGGAGGTGGACGGGGGTGGCGTGGAGGTGGTGGTGGTCGCGGTGGCATGCGGTCGTGCTTTAGCTGCGGGGAGGATGGGCACATGGCTAGGGAGTGCCCGAATGCGGGAGGAGGGAGAGGGGGGATGGGTGGGGGGGGAGAGGAGGATGAGGAGGAGGCAGGGGGGGGGCAGGGCGGGCAGAGGCGGTTTGAGCTGAAGGAGTCGGGGCACGGACAGCGGGGCGAGCAGGGCAAGAGGTGAGGCGAGCAGGGCAAGAGGTGAGGCGAGCGGGGCAAGAGGTGAGGCGAGCGGGGCAAGAGGTGAGGCGAGCGGGGCAAGAGGTGAACAACGCAAGAGGTGAACAACGCAAGAGGTGAACAACGCAAGAGGTGAACAACGCAAGAGGTGAACAACGCAAGAGGTGAACAACGCAAGAGGTGAACAACGCAAGAGGTGAACAACGCAAGAGGTGAACAACGCAAGAGGTGAACAACGCAAGAGGTGAACAACGCAAGAGGTGAACAACGCAAGAGGTGAACAACGCAAGAGGTGAACAACGCAAGAGGTGAACAACGCAAGAGGTGAACAACGCAAGAGGTGAACAACGCAAGAGGTGAACAACGCAAGAGGTGAACAACGCAAGAGGTGAACAACGCAAGAGGTGAACAACGCAAGAGGTGAACAACGCAAGAGGTGAACAACGCAAGAGGTGAACAACGCAAGAGGTGAACAACGCAAGAGGTGAACAACGCAAGAGGTGAACAACGCAAGAGGTGAACAACGCAAGAGGTGAACAACGCAAGAGGTGAACAACGCAAGAGGTGAACAACGCAAGAGGTGAACAACGCAAGAGGTGAACAACGCAAGAGTTGAACAACGCAAGAGGTGAACAACGCAAGAGGTGAACAACGCAAGAGGTGAACAACGCAAGAGGTGAACAACGCAAGAGGTGAACAACGCAAGAGGTGAACAACGCAAGAGGTGAACAACGCAAGAGGTGAACAACGCAAGAGGTGAACAACGCAAGAGGTGAACAACGCAAGAGGTGTACAACGCAAGAGGTGATACAGTGCATCAAGGAGGTGATACAGTGCATCAAGGAGGTGATACAGTGCATCAAGGAGGTGATACAATGCATCAAGGAGGTGATACAGTGCATCAAGGAGGTGATACAGTGCATCAAGGAGGTGATACAGTGCATCAAGGAGGTGATACAGTGCATCAAGGAGGTGATACAGTGCATCAAGGAGGTGATACAGTGCATCAAGGAGGTGATACAGTGCATCAAGGAGGTGCCAGATGATCAGAAGCCAAGGTGGAGATGGGTGGTCCTGGGTGGTGACGCAAGGCTTGGACAGGTGCAGTGAGGTGGTGGAAGCTGGGTGCCTTCTCTTCTCCCCACACGCGTTGACAGTTGCAATGACTATTCCTTGCAACATTTGCTTAAGCATTCCCAGCAGCTCGGACGTTCTCACAAATGCTCATCCTCTCTACCACCCTCCTCTATGTCCCTCCCACCTTTGCCTGGCAGCTACGAGCTTGTGTTTGACGGGGAGGAGGAGGGAGAGGGCAGGGCGGAGGGAGAAGGGGAGAGGAGTGTGCATGCAGGTGTGCCGAAGAGGAGGGAGGGGAGGGAGGGAGAGGGAAAGAGGCGTAGAGAAAGTGCTGCTTTCAGTGCTGCTGCTGGCAGTGCTGCTGCTGGCAGTGTGGATGTGGCTGCTCTCACTGCTGACGCCCTTTCTCGCGCTCAGGCGATTGCTGCACGTGTGACTGCAGGGAGAGAGGGGAGAGGAGGTGGAGGAGAGGACGGAGCTGCACGTGGTGCGAGTCCAAAGAGGGGCGGACAGAGAGAGAGGAAGAGGAGGTGGGATGCGGAAGGAGAAGAGGGAAGAGTGGAGCACGGTGGGGAGGTGAAAGAGGGGAGGGGGGGTGTGCGGAGGGAGAGGGATGGGGAGAAAGGAAGCCAGCGGAAAGAGGACGAGAAGATTGTGAAGGAAGCTGAGGAGGGAAGGAAGAAGTGGGGAAGGAGAGGTGAGGAAATGGATAGAGAGCATGAGGAGGAAATGATGAGGGAGAGGAGAGGTGTCAAAACAGTGAGGGTGGACGATGGAAGGAGAGGGCGTAGAGGGACTTCTGACAGCGAAGAGGAGCATGGGGGAAGAAGGGAGGAGAGGCGAGGGAGGTCAGATGGAGGCAGTCGGGAGAGGCGGCGTGGGGATGATGGGCGCGGCAGAGGGGAGGAGGATCGTGAGAGAGGAAAAGCGGTTGAAAGGAAGAGGAGAGACGATGAGGGAGGTATGAGAGTGAGGGGCGAAGAGGGGAGAAGAGGGAAGGATGAAGAGGAGCATGCGGAGGGAAGCAGGAGAAGGGGAAGGCACAGTGGCTATTCAAGGGATGAAGATGTGAGTCCAGCGATGGAGAAGGGGAGGAGTGAGAGGAGGGAAGGAGGTGGGCATGAGTCAACAAAGTGGCGTGATAGTGAGCGGAGGTGCAGAGACGAGGACAGGGAGGTAAAAAGGAGCAGGGAAGAGAGCAGGGAGGAAAAAAAGACAAGGAAAGAAGAGAGCTTGGAGGGATGGAGAGACAGAGATGGGAGCAGGGACAGCATGAGGCACAGCAGGGAAGGGCATGGCATTCGGCATAAAGGAGAGAGGAGAGTGAGGGTGGATGATTGGGATGATGTGCCCCCGGGGGTGAGACAAGAGAGGAGAGGTGGAATTGAAGAGAGTAAGGAGAGAGGGGATGGACGAGGAGAGAGGAGACAGGACGAGTGGGGTGAGGAAAGGAGAGCAAGGGGACGAGAAGCGAGGAGTGAGAAGAAAGAGTGAGGGAAGATAGGAGTGGGCATTAAATTGGTGACACTGGTGTAGAGAGCAAGCAAAGCTATTCGAAAGCATCGCGTGTTAAGGGTTCCTGAATGTGGTCAAGATTGTATTGAAGATGTGCTTACCATGGTTGACTCTAGTCCCTCCTGGAGTGATGTGTTACGAAACATTTGGAACAGGGCTGACTATTCAAAAAAATCCAGTCTGATGTTCTGGGGGCTCTGAAAATTTTTAGTCTGAGGCATATTTCCCAGAGAATGGCCACTCTGATTTTTCAGGTTCCGCAAAAACACAAGTCTGAAGTACTCAGAACACACTACAACCACTGCAGTACAGTACTGCCACAAATGTAGCACGTGGGGCGCAACGCTAACCAGTTTCCCTCGCTGACACCGCGTAGCTGCAGTGATGGTCCCGCGTGAGTGGAAGAGTGAGCCAAGTTGGCAGATTTCTAAGGGAAAAGGGTGGCAAAAGTTGCCAAGGACAGATTCTGCGCGTGACAGCGCCATGAAGTGTGTTCGTACACTGGCAACATATGACGTAGCGGAATGTACGTAGAAATCACAGATCCGCATTTCAGGATCCGTACTCCCTGTAGTATGAAGACCCATTATCGGCTAAGTCAGTACTCTGAAAATCTCAGGATCCAAAACCAAGTCTGAGGCACTCATGTTTGAAAATCTTACAAGTCTGAAAAATCAGGATCCGTAGGAAAATACCCTGAGATTTCAGACAATCAGACTATTTTAGTCTGATAAAGTCAGCCCTGATTTGGAATGTGAAGGAAGTCTGAAGTTCTCGCATCCCGCACATACCATAGCTTACATGGGGTTGGGGTGGGTGGGTGGGTGGGTCGCTTATTGGCCATTTTTTTTATATTAATACCAGTATATTGTCACACTCGTAAGCGAATGAAAGGATGTAATATCAATGTTATGAAATGGACATCGTAGTTTACAAAATTTGTTAGATTTCCATGTTAATACATAAGCTCTAACGGGTGGGTTTTTCAAAGGGGTGTGTGCATGTTCCAAACCTCCTGTGACTTCACATCCGCGAGTCGTCTCTGCGGACCCCTACTATGATAGCCCACCATTTGTGCTGCCACTATTGCAAACTATACTATAGCCTCCCTTACAATCATTCCATCAATGCTCCTCGGTCGCGAGGAAGTTAGCCTCTTTCAACAGTTTCATTTCACCGCCTGCTTGTGGGTCGAACTGAAGCTTGTAGTACCTGGTGCGAGGTAGCGGCCCAGACACACAAAACAGCAACCCAGACAGAGATGAATTATGGGAGATACTGGAAGGAACAAACCCTAACAGCAATCAAATTCGAGTTCCACACAAGACTTGATAGTAGAACGTGTAAGCATACAAACCCATGCCTCGAGAGTGCCCAGCTACCGCTACATATTTGCACAAGTAGGGCACGTATGGGCATTCGTATGGGCACACGTACGCGCCAGCGCTGCTGACCACAATGACGGTGTTTGCCTCGGCGCCAAAGGCAGCGAGCATGTGCGTGTGCACACCGGTGCGGTAGAAGGCCAGCGAGCGCTCCTCTCTGAAGTACTTGGGGAGGACCCCTGGGGAGGAACACGAGGGAGGGGAGTCACAGAGAGGCCTGAGGCAAGGGGGGGATGGCATGAGAGCAAAGAGCATGCTCAAGTGCACGGCAATGTGGTAGAACGTCACAGAGGGCTGCTCAAGTACTTGGGGGATTCTTGCAGGGGAGTTATGGAGAGGAGTCACGGACGGACACGAGGTGAGAGGGGTGCCAGGGGGTAGGAAAGGATGAAGGCAAGGGAACGCTTGTCACTGGAATACTTGGGGGGGAAGACTCGTGGGGGTTGGGAGGGGAGGAGTCATGGCGAGAGAGGTTATGCAGAGGCAGGAGATAAGAGGGGTGACCGGGGTAGTAATAGAAGCAAGGGAGCGTGCGTCACTGTAGTGACACGGAGAGGCAAGAGCCAGAGGGGGAGTAGCATGAGAGCAGGGAGCATGTGTGTGTGCACGCCAATAACCCTAATATACCCCCTATTATGACGGCCTATACCTGTACAGTAACACACGCCTTGTACTACCCCTCAAAACCCACTCCTATAAAAAGCCCACCCTCACCTCACCCTTAACATAATCAGCCCCTCAAATGACCCACCTTTCATCAATCCAAACAACGACAGCGCTCCCCCACCACTCCCCTGCCCCTGCGCCTGGGAGTGCAGCAGCGAGAACACGTGCACGGTGCCCCTGTCACTGGTGGCCACCAGCAACTGCGCCTTGGGGGAGAAGGCGAGGCTGTACATGTCTGCCTGCTCCGCTCCCCTGCGCAGCTGCACGTGGGCGGGAACGCAAGGAGGGGGACAGCAAGGGAGTGGGTAATGCAGCAGAAGGTGCCGTGGACTCTGCGGTTACCAGAGGCTGTACATGTCTGCCCGCTCCACTCCCGTGCAGAGCCCGGCAGTGGCCTGGTGTGGCTAGCGGCGGGCAATGAAAGTGTGCTGTTGGGGAGAGAAAGCCCGTGCTGTGGATGGTGGGGAGAGACAGACAACGCACACACGACCCACACACACTACCCAGCTACTTATGCACACAAATACACACACATGCCATGCCACATGCCATGCCACATCCATTCTGCATACCACATGCCACATGCCACATGCCATGCCACATGCCACATGCCACCCCACATGCCACATGTCATACTACATGCCATACCACATGCCACATGCAATGCTACATGCCATGCCACATGCACGCTACATGCCACATGCCATGCCACATGCCCCATGCCCTGCCACATGCCACACAGCACACACTGCTCTCACAGCTTGGTGCCAGTAGCCATGTTGAACACCCCTTGCTGCTGGCCGTGGCCCAGTCGCTGCCCATCCAGTAAGAGACAGAGGAACGGAGCCAATGCACGCACACACACATCCACAATGCACACACACACACACGCACGCACGCACGCGCACACACACACACACACACACACACACACACACACGCACGCACGCACGCACGCACGCACGCACGCACGCACACACACACACACACACACACACACACACACACATCCACGGTGCACACACGACTCACAATGCACACATGGCACACAATGCACACATGGCACACGATGCACACATGGCACACGATGCACACATGGCACACGATGCACACATGGCACACGATGCACACATGGCACACGATGCACACATGGCACACGATGCACACATGGCACACGATGCACACATGGCACACGGTGCACACATGGCACACGATGCACACATGGCACACGATGCACACATGGCACACGATGCACACATGGCACACGATGCACACATGGCACACGATGCACACATGGCACACGATGCACACATGGCACACGGTGCACACATGGCACACGATGCACACATGGCACACGATGCACACATGGCACACGATGCACACATGGCACACGGTGCACACATGGCGCAGTACCTCGTGCAGTCTCGTCCCATCCGCCGTGTTGTAGACCCGAATGATCGTGCCCTTGCTGCTTGCCGTGGCCAGTCGCTGGCCGTCCAAAGAAAGAGCCAGGCGGGCTGCGAGAAACATGGCTGGCCGACGTACCCGCGGCGCTGATGAAACAGCTCCACGCGGATCTGATGGGGGGACGCGGGAGAAGAATGGGTGTCATGTGCTGCTATGAAGTGTGTGCGGCGCTGATCAAACGGCTCCATGCGGATCTGAGGAAAGGGGGGGGGAGCGGGGCACGTTTAAAGGCGAGCACAATAAAAGAAGAAAGCCATTCGGGGAAAGAGCAAGGTTGGAGGGGGAAGAGGAGAAGTGGCTCCAAGTCATGGGCTGACTATAAAGTGTGTGTGGCGCTGATCGGATGGTTCCATGCGAAGGGGGAAGAGGGGAAGGGACGGGAATTGAAGTCTGAGACTCTCAAACACAGACACATGCTGTATTCGTCCCCTCCCCAATACCCGCCCTGCCCACCTCATTATCCACCCCAACATCCCACCTGCTGCAGTGCTCCTACCCAGCCATCCCGCCATCCAGCCATCCCACCACCTGTGCTCGTTTAGCCTCTCAACTGCCCCCACTTTCTGCCAGTTCTGCCTTCTGCTCACCACCCCACCTTCTGCTGCCTCTGCTCCCCACCATCCATCCCATCCCACCCACCATCCCACCCACCCTCTGCGGGTGCCTGGCTGGGCACGCCATGACGAAGTTTTCGGGCGACTGGGACACCGCGCACAGCCCCTTGGGGTTCGACAGCGTCTCCACCTGTAGTGTGGGTGGACGGTGGGGGGGTGGTGGTGGTGGTGTCGGCGAGGAAGAGACAAAGGCGAAGACTGGAATGAGGCAGATCCACACCAGCAACTGGGCTGGACTGACTGGGATACCTCGTACAGTTCCTTGGGGTTTGACAACGTCTCCACCTGCCAGAGTTACCTGGAGCAGGCATCACCTGGTGCAGCAGTTTGAAGTGGGTAAAGTTGCGGATATACGCCTTGTGCTCCAACACCACCACCATGCGCTCCCTCCTCAGCCGCACCTGCTGCAGCAGGCATCACCTCGTGCAGGCATCACCTCGTGCAGGCATCACCTCGTGCAGGCATCACCTCGTGCAGGCATCACCTCGTGCAGGCATCACCTCGTGCAGGCATCACCTCGTGCAGGCATCACCTCGTGCAGGCATCACCTCGTGCAGGCATCACCTCGTGCAGGCATCACCTCGTGCAGGCATCACCTCGTGCAGGCATCACCTCGTGCAGGCATCACCTCGTGCAGGCATCACCTCGTGCAGGCATCACCTCGTGCAGGCATCACCTCGTGCAGGCATCACCTCGTGCAGGCATCACCTCGTGCAGGCATCACCTCGTGCAGGCATCACCTCGTGCAGGCATCACCTCGTGCAGGCATCACCTCGTGCAGGCATCACCTCGTGCAGGCATCACCTCGTGCAGGCATCACCTCGTGCAGGCATCACCTCGTGCAGGCATCACCTCGTGCAGGCATCACCTCGTGCAGGCATCACCTCGTGCAGGCATCACCTCGTGCAGGCATCACCTCGTGCAGGCATCACCTCGTGCAGGCATCACCTCGTGCAGGCATCACCTCGTGCAGGCATCACCTCGTGCAGGCATCACCTCGTGCAGGCATCACCTCGTGCAGGCATCACCTCGTGCAGGCATCACCTCGTGCAGGCATCACCTCGTGCAGGCATCACCTCGTGCAGGCATCACCTCGTGCAGGCATCACCTCGTGCAGGCATCACCTCGTGCAGGCATCACCTCGTGCAGGCATCACCTCGTGCAGGCATCACCCTCGTGCAGGCATCACCTCGTGCAGGCATCACCTCGTGCAGGCATCACCTCGTGCAGGCATCACCTCGTGCAGGCATCACCTCGTGCAGGCATCACCTCGTGCAGGCATCACCTCGTGCAGGCATCACCTCGTGCAGGCATCACCTCGTGCAGGCATCACCCTCGTGCAGGCATCACCTCGTGCAGGCATCACCTCGTGCAGGCATCACCTCGTGCAGGGCATCACCTCGTGCAGGCATCACCTCGTGCAGGCATCACCTCGTGCAGGCATCACCTCGTGCAGGCATCACCTCGTGCAGGCATCACCTCGTGCAGGCATCACCTCGTGCAGGCATCACCTCGTGCAGGCATCACCTCGTGCAGGCATCACCTCGTGCAGGCATCACCTCGTGCAGGCATCACCTCGTGCAGGCATCACCTCGTGCAGGCATCACCTCGTGCAGGCATCACCTCGTGCAGGCATCACCTCGTGCAGGCATCACCTCGTGCAGGCATCACCTCGTGCAGGCATCACCTCGTGCAGGCATCACCTCGTGCAGGCATCACCTCGTGCAGGCATCACCTCGTGCAGGCATCACCTCGTGCAGGCATCACCTCGTGCAGGCATCACCTCGTGCAGGCATCACCTCGTGCAGGCATCACCTCGTGCAGGCATCACCTCGTGCAGGCATCACCTCGTGCAGGCATCACCTCGTGCAGGCATCACCTCGTGCAGGCATCACCTCGTGCAGGCATCACCTCGTGCAGGCATCACCTCGTGCAGGCATCACCTCGTGCAGGCATCACCTCGTGCAGGCATCACCTCGTGCAGGCATCACCTCGTGCAGGCATCACCTCGTGCAGGCATCACCTCGTGCAGGCATCACCTCGTGCAGGCATCACCTCGTGCAGGCATCACCTCGTGCAGGCATCACCTCGTGCAGGGCATCACCTCGTGCAGGCATCACCTCGTGCAGGCATCACCTCGTGCAGGCATCACCTCGTGCAGGCATCACCTCGTGCAGGCATCACCTCGTGCAGGCATCACCTCGTGCAGGCATCACCTCGTGCAGGGCATCACCTCGTGCAGGCATCACCTCGTGCAGGCATCACCTCGTGCAGGCATCACCTCGTGCAGGCATCACCTCGTGCAGGCATCACCTCGTGCAGGCATCACCTCGTGCAGGCATCACCTCGTGCAGGCATCACCTCGTGCAGGCATCACCTCGTGCAGGCATCACCTCGTGCAGGCATCACCTCGTGCAGGCATCACCTCGTGCAGGGCATCACCTCGTGCAGGCATCACCTCGTGCAGGCATCACCTCGTGCAGGCATCAACCTCGTGCAGGCATCACCTCGTGCAGGCATCACCTCGTGCAGGCATCACCTCGTGCAGGCATCACCTCGTGCAGGCATCACCTCGTGCAGGCATCACCTCGTGCAGGCATCACCTCGTGCAGGCATCACCTCGTGCAGGCATCACCTCGTGCAGGCATCACCTCGTGCAGGCATCACCTCGTGCAGGCATCACCTCGTGCAGGCATCACCTCGTGCAGGCATCAACCTCGTGCAGGCATCACCTCGTGCAGGCATCACCTCGTGCAGGCATCACCTCGTGCAGGCATCACCTCGTGGCAGGCATCACCTCGTGCAGGCATCACCTCGTGCATGCATCACCTCGTGCAGGCATCACCTCGTGCAGGCATCACCTCGTGCAGGCATCACCTCGTGCAGGCATCACCTCGTGCAGGCATCACCTCGTGCAGGCATCACCTCGTGCAGGCATCACCTCGTGCAGGCATCACCTCGTGCAGGCATCACCTCGTGCAGGCATCACCCTCGTGCAGGCATCCACCTCGTGCAGGCATCACCTCGTGCAGGCATCACCTCGTGCAGGCATCACCTCGTGCAGGCATCACCTCGTGCAGGCATCACCTCGTGCAGGCATCACCTCGTGCAGGCATCACCTCGTGCAGGCATCACCTCGTGCAGGCATCCATCGTGCAGGCCATACCCGTGCAGGCATCAACCTCGTGCAGGCATCACCTCAGTGCAGGCATCACCTCGTGCAGGCATCACCTCGTGCAGGCATCACCTCGTGCAGGCATCACCTCGTGCAGGCATCACCTCGTGCAGGCATCACCTCGTGCAGGCATCACCTCGTGCAGGCATCACCTCGTGCAGGCATCACCTCGTGCAGGCATCACCTCGTGCAGGCATCACCTCGTGCAGGCATCACCTCGTGCAGGCATCACCCTCGTGCAGGCATCACCTCGTGCAGGCATCACCTCGTGCAGGCATCACCTCGTGCAGGCATCACCTCGTGCAGGCATCACCTCGTGCAGGCATCACCTCGTGCAGGCAATCACCTCGTGCAGGCATCACCTCGTGCAGGCATCACCTCGTGCAGGCATCACCTCGTGCAGGCATCACCTCGTGCAGGCATCACCTCGTGCAGGCATCACCTCGTGCAGGCATCACCTCGTGCATGCATCACCTCGTGCAGGCATCACCTCGTGCAGGGCATCACCTCGTGCAGGCATCACCTCGTGCAGGCATCACCTCGTGCAGGCATCACCTCGTGCAGGCATCACCTCGTGCAGGCATCACCTCGTGCAGGCATCACCTCGTGCAGGCATCACCTCGTGCAGGCATCACCTCGTGCAGGCATCACCTCGTGCAGGCATCACCTCGTGCAGGCATCACCTCGTGCAGGCATCACCTCGTGCAGGCATCACCTCGTGCAGGCATCACCTCGTGCAGGCATCACCTCGTGCAGGCATCACCTCGTGCAGGCATCACCTCGTGCAGGCATCACCTCGTGCAGCATCACCTCGTGCAGGCATCACCTCGTGCAGGCATCACCTCGTGCAGGCATCACCTCGTGCAGGCATCACCTCGTGCAGGCATCACCTCGTGCAGGCATCACCTCGTGCAGGCATCACCTCGTGCAGGCATCACCTCGTGCAGGCATCACCTCGTGCAGGCATCACCTCGTGCAGGCATCACCTCGTGCAGGCATCACCTCGTGCAGGCATCACCTCGTGCAGGCATCACCTCGTGCAGGCATCACCTCGTGCAGGCATCACCTCGTGCAGGCATCACCTCGTGCAGGCATCACCTCGTGCAGGCATCACCTCGTGCAGGCATCACCTCGTGCAGGCATCACCTCGTGCAGGCATCACCTCGTGCAGGCATCACCTCGTGCAGCATCACCTCGTGCAGGCATCACCTCGTGCAGGCATCACCTCGTGCAGGCATCACCTCGTGCAGGCATCACCTCGTGCAGGCATCACCTCGTGCAGCATCACCTCGTGCAGGCATCACCTCGTGCAGGCATCACCTCTGTGCAGGCATCACCTCGTGCAGGCATCACCTCGTGCAGGCATCACCTCGTGCAGGCATCACCTCGTGCAGGCATCACCTCGTGCAGGCATCACCTCGTGCAGGGCATCACCTCGTGCAGGCATCACCTCGTGCAGGCATCACCTCGTGCAGGCATCACCTCGTGCAGGCATCACCTCGTGCAGGCATCACCTCGTGCAGGCTCACCTCGTGCAGGCATCACCTCGTGCAGGCATTCACCTCGTGCAGGCATCACCTCTGTGCAGGCATCACCTCGTGCAGGCATCACCTCGTGCAGGATCACCTCGTGCAGGCATCACCTCGTGCAGGCATCACCTCGTGCAGGCATCACCTCGTGCAGGCATCACCTCGTGCAGGCATCACCTCGTGCAGGCATCACCTCGTGCAGGCATCACCTCGTGCAGGCATCACCTCGTGCAGGCATCACCTCGTGCAGGCATCACCTCGTGCAGGCATCACCTCGTGCAGGCATCACCTCGTGCAGGCATCACCTCGTGCAGGCATCACCTCGTGCAGGCATCACCTCGTGCAGGCATCACCTCGTGCAGGCATCACCTCGTGCAGGCATCACCTCGTGCAGGCATCACCTCGTGCAGGCATCACCTCGTGCAGGCATCACCTCGTGCAGGCATCACCTCGTGCAGGCATCACCTCGTGCAGGCATCACCTCGTGCAGGCATCACCTCGTGCAGGCATCACCTCGTGCAGGCATCACCTCGTGCAGGCATCACCTCGTGCAGGCATCACCTCGTGCAGGCATCACCTCGTGCAGGCATCACCTCGTGCAGGCATCACCTCGTGCAGGCAGCATCACCTGGTGCAGCGGCTTCACCTGGTGCAGGCATCACCAGGTGCATGCATCACCTCGTGCAGGCATCACCTCGTGCAGGCATCACCTCGTGCAGACATCACCTCGTGCAGGCAGCATCACCTGGTGCAGCGGCTTCACCTGGTGCAGGCATCACCAGGTGCATGCATCACCTGGTGCAGGCATCACCAGGTGCAGGCATCACCTGGTGCAGGCATCACCTGGTGCAGGCATCACCTGGTGCAGGCATCACCTGGTGCGGGCATCACCTGGTGCGGGCATCACCAGGTGCAGGCATCACCTGGTGCAGGCATCACCTGGTGCAGGCATCACCTGGTGCAGGCATCACCTGGTGCGGGCATCACCTGGTGCGGGCATCACCTGGTGCAGGCATCACCTGGTGCAGGCATCACCTGGTGCGGGCATCACCTGGTGCAGGCATCACCTGGTGCAGGCATCACCTGGTGCGGGCATCACCTGGTGCAGGCATCACCTGGTGCAGCGGCGTCAAGTCAGGGAAGCTGAACACGAAGATTTTGTGCTCCAGCACAACAACGATGCGGTCCCTCCTCAGCCGCACGCCCCTCACTTCGCTGCGAAAGGCCAGCTCGCCAACGCACCGGCTCTCCTTGTCGTCCCATATTATCACCTGAAGAGGGTGAACACGGGGGGAGGGAGGAGGGGATGGGAGAATGGGGGGGAGACAGGACAGAGAGGGAACAACACACGAAGAAAGAGAAGGGATCATTCACCCACTGAAGTGTCAAAGCACCATCTGTTGACAAAGGTCGTCGGGTGAGGTTAGCAGGCGGAAATGGAGAGGAATGACAAAAGAAGAGCAAGAATCGTAACGATGCACCAGGTGTGACTGACGTCCCATTTCCCCATGCCTTTTCTCACTCCGTCTACGCTCACCTCCCCTCTTACCTCCCCTCACCTCCCACGTCACCTCCCCCCACCTCCCTTCACCTCCCTTCCCCCTTTCACCTCCCTTCCCCCCCTCACCTCCCTTCCCCTCCTCACCTCCCTTCCTCCCCTCACCTCAATTCCTCCCCTCACCTCCCTTCCCCCTCTCACCTCCCTTCCCCCCCTCACCTCCCTTCCCCCCCTCACCTCCCTTCCCCTCCTCACCTCCCTTCCTCCCCTCACCTCAATTCCTCCCCTCACCTCCCTTCCCCCTCTCACCTCCCTTCCCCCCCTCACCTCCCTTCCCCCCCTCACCTCCCTTCCTCCCCTCACCTCCCTTCCACACCTCACCTCCCTTCCACACCTCACCTCAATTCCCCCCCTCACCTCCCTTCCCCCCCTCACCTCCCTTCCCCTCCTCACCTCCCTTCCACCCCTCACCTCCCTTCCACCCCTCACCTCCCTTCCACCCCTCACCTCCCTTCCACCCCTCACCTCCCTTCCACACCTCACCTCCCTTCCTCCCCTGCCGCACCTTCTTCCCCTTCATCAGGTGCCCGAATCTCCTCACCCCTCTCTTCTCTGCGCCGCACCTTGTTGGGCGGGTAGCACGGGTTGGGACCGCCGCCCACGAGCGCGAATAGGTGGCAGCAAGACAGCATCTCCACCATGCCCGCGCCGTGCCCCTCAAACTCGCGCCGCTGAATCGTCTCCTTCAGCGGGTCGCACCAGAACACGCGAAAGCCACCGTGCGTCGCGCACGTGAAGCACGTGGAGTCCTGGTTGAACCGCACCGGCGGGTGTTGGGGCAGCGGGGCCGCGGTGGCGGGCGCGGAGTCAGCGCCCGCGGAGTCTCTGTCGGCGGAAAGTTCCGCGTCCCTTTTCTTTACCTGCTGAGACGCCAAGAAAATCGAGATAGGATCCGTCGGCTCGAATTCCCCTCCGCCAACGAGTTTAAGGGTCTGGGCGCTAAGCATGACGGCGACAATCCTGAGGCCTGACTCGCTATGTCTGAAAGCCTCGAGGGTGGACGAGAAACAGAGGCACCTGTGCGAGCCGCGTCACGACAGACGACAGATTCCTCAGCCGTAGCAAAAGGCGGCTAATATGGACGGTGACAAGGGTGAAATACGCCGAGAGGAGCAGCGAGAGCGGCGAATAAAGCTGTGTGAAGCGGGCGAAAGAAGCGGTGGGAGCAGGCAAGCAGGGAGACCATGGCGGAGAGGCAAATTCGGTTGTGATGTCGGGCCAGTCTCCCAACCCCGTCGGTCGAGGGAGCGACGTTGGGGCCGAGCCGTCGTCCCAAGCAAACTCGAACAACATCGAGAATTCCATTGGGACAGGCTTGGGCATGGAGTTGTCCGACCGTGCTGCTCACTCTTGGCTGCCAGGCTCCTAAAAATACATCTCGGCTTATTCTCGATAATTTCACACCCCTTAAGCGCACACCCTGGGGTAATTACTCTTGGTTAAACGTTAAAGTTGGGTAGCAAGCAACGATTGTAGACTTTCGGAGGAGGGAGTCTCGCAACCTGCTCGCGAATGGAAGAAAAGAAACCAGAGTTCCAAGGGCAGCCATCCACCCCTACTACTCACTCGGAAAATTAAGTGCGAGGCTCGATAACTACCCTCGTCAATCTTTGGGTGTCCGTCACATCGAGCCAGAAAACGTACAGGGTACCTTCGAAATAGGGGGTAGGGGGTGTGCAATTATCGAGAATAGGGTGTTATTGAAGACTTCACGACAGGTGTCGCAGCTGTGTGTGCTGTGCATGCGAGGGGGGACACCACGCAATGTACTCTGTCAAAAGCGTCTGGTTTGGAAGCAACTCGTCTGATCTACAATGATTGGTTTCAAAACACCTCGAAAAAAAACAGAGAAAAAAAAAACAGCGAAACACCTCGTCACCCTCAAAGTGCATTTTCATGATGCTAAAAAGCTATCCATCACGCACAAACTGTGTTTCCCCTCCCCATTCACGTATAATACATGGTTTGAAAAACAAAATCCCCTCGTGCGCAACATGTGTTTTCATGATGGCAAAAAAGGGAAGGACAAGGCAGTTTTTAGGGATGCGGTTTCAGAAGCGGACCCGGACGGGGAGAATGCTGGTGCTGAAGAAGACGAAGAGATAGCGGATGACGGCGCAGGGATATCAGATGCTGTGCGGCTGTTGAATGATGAAGACGATGGCTTAAAGCCCGAGTCCCAAGTTGCAAGCCGCGGGCATCAAGATTACTAATCTTGATGACCTACGTGTTGCAGTGGGACACTTTCTACAAATCTCAATAGTGAACTTGAAGAACCGTGTTGTGCAATTTGGGACTTCAGCACAAAAGACAAGCACAAACGAAGACACGAATGCTAGAAACACCTCTCCAGTCCAAGTGCACTGCCATCAAGATTAATAATCTTGTGCAACTTGGGACTCAGGCTCTGATGAAGAGGTGGAGGAGTTGTCGAAGGGGGTGATTGCGTCGCGCTCCCGGTTCCCGATCACGCTTCTGGTACCTGAGGATTTCCTGCACGAAGTATCGCGCACGCGGCTGACCATCAAGTCCCTGCTCGTAATGTGGAAGACCGAGTTGTCGGATGAGGCTCTGGTTACCACGACATACCAGAAGTTGTCGTCGGCGTTCCTGTCAAAGAAGCTTTATGGTCGCATGCAAGTCATTTTTGATAAAGCATCAGATGCTAACTTTGTGTGGCGTAACCAGGTCGAGCATAAATGCAAGGATGGGGTCTACGTTACCTTTGACTGGCAGTATCCAGAAGATGTCGCTTATGCCAGGCAGAAGGCGACTAACCCCGAAGTCATTGAACTTTTCTTCAAAGCGGTTCCCGCTGAAATTTCGCCTGCGATGCTGCAAGGGGTGTTGATGGCACCACTTAAGAAGAAAAAGAAGTCGGTTTTCAAGGAGGGGTTATGCTTCTACCGTGCCGTTAACCCGGTTACTCGTCTTGACACGGACCGTGTCAAGGGCCTGGTGATTGCTCACGAGGGGGACATTTATCGCTGGAAGCATTACATTGAGAACCCCCTTAACAGCGACGAGACGAACCTGATTTACTACCCGGCTCTGAAGTGCAGCCTATGTGGAGGTGTTCACTCGATCCACAACCACAATGATTTCGTCGTCGAATGGCAGAACAACATCACTAAGTGGAACCTTACTGTTGGGAGGGTCCATGAGTTGAATGGTAGCTGTGCCGTTTTTGCTGATGCCGCTCTTACCTTCGACGTTTCTCCGTTTTACCTTTTCACTGCTTCCCGAATTCTCACGCTTGTCCTCCGCAACTGCCGCGACCACTACCTCAGATACGACCAAGATTATCCTCAAGGACCCGGCCCTGGTTCTTATTTTTACCAGTGGCAATCGGGAGGAGCGGGTTTGTCTCCAGGAAAGCTGCGAGAAGGCTCACGGATCCTCTTTCGAGCAAGCCGCGCATCATGCTCTTTCACAGCGTCACCGTCACGGTGCTCCGAAGGGTGGAGAGCAGCTGCGGGTGATGAAGGGGAAGATCAACCTCAAAACGTTGATGAAGGATTGCGGCTTGTGACGTGGAGGAGGGGGAACTCAGACGGAGATTGCGTAGTGCCAGTAGGGTCCATCGTGCCTGTATTTGCATATTATAAAACCGTCGTCGGTGTCTCACTCAGCCCGTGGATGCTTGGGGCTTCTTCGCAATTTCCCAATGAATAAAGCCTCTTACTTGACCATACGCGAGCTCAACGTCAACGGGCTCGGAAGTAGAGGGAAGAAGAAACATCTCAAGGCATGGATTAAAAAACCTCCTGACATTCTCGTGTTGGTAGATACTCGCATCGGTGCTGCCCACGATTTCTGGAAGGAGCTTAAGGCTCCCCATTGTCACGCGATCGGACCTGCGGGGAAGGCAGGGGGGGTGGCTATCATCAGTTTCAATAAAGCTCTCACATTTTCTAACATCGTTGCTCACTGCTCAGGCCGGTTGCTCCAGGCAGATGTCCAGTGGGACTCCTTTTGTTGCACGGTGCTAGCGACGTACTTTCCAGCGAAGGCCTGCAGTCGCCGTCCGTTTTTTTTTAGCGCACTCCGGCCGTTCCTAGCATACTCCGCCGGAAAATCGAACTTCCTGCTCATTGGGGATTTGAATCTGGTAGAAGACCCCCTGCTCGGCAGATCATCAGCAGCGGGTTCGGCGGGTGAAAATGACAGGCTTATGCAGATCTGCTCGGCGCACTGCCTCACGGATGCTTACCGATGGGTGAACCCAGTGCTGAGGGGGTTCACCTTTTTCGAAGACCATCTCGTGTATTGATCGTGCACTGTTCTCGGCGTCCATGTTGCTGCAGCTCCATGACGCGTCTCACTGTCGTCCGTTGAAGGGGCTCTCCGATCACTGGTTCGGCGTGAAAGTGCCCCTGAAAGTCAACCTCTACCTGTGCATGGGGCCGGTATCTGGAGATGCAAGGCGGCGAAGATTGGTAAACCAGGGGTTGCGAAAGCTGTCGCTGCTGTCCGGGAGAAGCACGAAGCGGAAGGGTCGGGGGATTTCGGTCTTCTCATGCGGAGGATGAATGCGGTGCTGTGAAGATACTCAATGGAGGAAAGGTGCGGGAAATGGCCAAGGATTACCATGCTATTCCTGACGTCTGCGGCGAGCGGGAGAGCGTTTAGCCAGGGACGAAACATAGTGACGTGGCACAGGCACCGGTTGAGCGTCGGTCGAGTGCGCGCGGCCATGTGGATCGAGACACGGATGACGCTGAACCCTGGCCGGATGCTCATTGGCCCTGGGGCGATGGCGGTTTTGCATGAACTAAGTGTGGAGGGCGAGGACGAGGGGATCTGACCCTATTTTAACATACATGATATATTTATTACTTGCATGCCTTGCCTTGACACCTTCATTCTATTCCCCCCCCTCCCCTCCCCCCCCCCTCTCCCAACACCAGTCATTGCATGTGGTTATGCAGCGTTGTCCATGTGACTTTGGTAATACTGTTCTCAGTATGATTAGTAGGCCAAACTTATTTTCCAGTTTAACACAATATGTTGCATGTACACTTGGGAAAAAAAACCATGTATGCTACCTAAAAACCCCTCAGGTACATACGGGTCATTGATACACGCCCCGTGTATGGGTTGACCTGACCCGCCACGGGTCACAATTGACCCGTACATGTATAGACGGTACAGGTCACTAAAATAGCCAGGCCAGCCACCTACGGGTCGACCCCACCCGACCCATTGCCCATGTCTACTTAGTAGACGGCACGCCACTGGCAATACGGGAAAATGTGGAGATGGTGAAGATTCGCTGCGGGGGAATGTTTGGATTTTCACAGGATATGCTCGCAACAACGCTGGATGGGACCAACATTTTTCTAGGACGTGATTGGCTGCGACGGTACTGTCAGAATCCCAGCCACTAGACCACTGTCAGAATCCCAGTAAACTAAGAAAGCAATTAGATTACTTGATAAATTTTTAATCCGACCGAGTTCGTCGCCGTTCACACCGAAGAAGGATGGAGGTTTTCGCATGTGCATCGATTACCGCTCTGAACAGGGTAAAAGTCAAGCCACGATATCTCATCCCCCCCACCAACGAATTGATCGACC